GTAAACAATGTTAAGGCTATTTTGGCTATGCTCGTAGCTGCTCTGGTTACTGGTATAGGGCTATAGCCAAGCCGTTAAAATTAGACCACAGATTGCCTCGATTTCGCCAGGTGGGCTAAAAGCAGACTACACAGTAGCCCGTCCAATTTAGAGCTAAATCGTGGCTACACAGTAAAATCAGCAGTGTAATATTTGCAGTGTTAAACGTTATTAATTCCCAAAGAGTTGAATTAACAATCTACAGTATTAAACAGTACTCACGCTCAGTGTTGTTATATGGTGTAATTTCACTTTTACACTAAAAGTGCGGAATAAAAACCCCGCCGAATTGTCTGGACTCCGCCCTTCAATGACTGCTGTCTCGGGAAGCGACCGAGACGGTAAATTGGATTGATTTTCTCTTTATAAAAGTAACGGGAAAAACATTTTTGTTGATAATTTTACTCAAAATATGATTGGTGGTGAACACATTTAGAAATTACTAACTGCGCGTGTTTTTGTCAGGTTTAGTGTTAAGTTCGTGTTCGTGAGGTGGAGAGATGTAACGTTAAGTTACAGAAGAGTGTGAAAGTTTCTCATGCCGGTTCGATTTCCTGAAAAAAGGTGATTAATGTTACGTGTAAAATAACTTTTTGGAATGTGCTTACAATTTATGTTGTATATGCTTTTAGCTTCTTTCATTTTGGTTCGCTGACAGATCCTCTCGCCTCCATTCCCGCCGAGGCCTGGTTTTACTACGAGTCGCACTGAAGTTTGAAGCAGCCACATTTGGGCGGTTTTCTACTCAAATTAGAGAATTCATCAAATGGTAAATTCATATTTGTTTTTGAAAGCACTGAGTGTGGCATTTCGCTGTTTCCATGCTTTGAAACGGTAATAGTGGGACTGTTAAACATTATGCGCTAACAATTTCGTTTTTGCGACGCATAACACCGTGTTGAAGTGTCTGTCTCGCCCGCTGCAAACGAGCAGTCTCTCTGCAGACAGAGCTGGCATAACGCGGAACATTTACCAGTCATTTGATTGACGTTATCTAATGCAAAACTCTGAAATTAGAGCGCGTTTAAAAACTTCCATTCGCCCTAGGCTTATGTGTGAACTGCGTAATCTGTACGTTGCTTGTTCTCAGCGCTGAATATCATGTCTGTTATGTCATCATATCCGCGTCAAGACACAAACGCGCTACCTTCAAGATTTTCTTATGACAATTACGCTTATGCAAGCATCATGAAAGTGAGTTAAAGGTACGTTAAACTGTAAATCCGTCAGTCTTAAAATTTCCTTCAGTGCCCACTGGCAGAGCATGCAGGTACTTTAGCTTGAAACCAGTCTTTATCAATTCATATGGCATGCTATTTTGGGTTAAATAATGTCCTAAATATTTCTAGATATACAAAGTTAAGTTTTAATGGAGAAATATGTCTGAATCTATCTGTATTTTCTTTTCACATTATACATAATAAATAGTAAGATAAATTCTTAACACGTGTTAATTTATTCTAATGTAGTACACTGTTCAATGTTCATTTTAAGATGCCTTATTACTCATGTTACTCATTAAAATTATACAAATGTATTGTGGCAACCACACGTGACGACCCCGGGCTGGACTCCGCTTCGTCCACGGTGAAAGCCGATCCGGCGATTCACAGCGCAAAGTTGATCACAGCCCTAGTGACTACACAATCAACTTAGCAGAATGGTTCCTGAGAGAGATATTGTTGTCATTAATTGTTTTTTCTTTTTTTTTTCTTTTCAAGAAGCCAAGTTCCTGGCTTCTCCCAAGACCTTCAAGGACCCAATTGACCGCGATATTGCATCAATTGGTCTCCTTCATTTGATTCCACCATCACCACTAGGTTGCGAAGGACCTGGAAAAATGTCCTCCTATCAAGCTGAAAAACATCTTCAAAAGTACATTTGGACATTTCTGTCACTACCTATTGTCTGCCTCAAAATATTGCCAGATGGGTTGTATATGAAAGACTAATGTAAATAAAATCAGTTGGAGAGCTGACCTTGAGTGTTATTTTTGTCTTTGATCTGCAGGCACCAACAAGAAGAACAGCTTGATTGCATAGAAGAGACCACACAGCCATACCTGCTTGCTGATGGGACAATGAGGAACATAATTCATGGATGCTACACAACTGTCAAATCTACCTGTCATATTTGTTCATGTCTAGGTAAATTTGATGATTTTGTGTTTTATTAACTATTTTATGTTTCTGTGCAACACTTAATGAATGTGACTGACTAAATAACCTCTACACATCTGATATATGCTTTAAAGTGGCCACTTTGCCCATTTGTTAAATAAACGTAGAAATTTATACATCTGTCTGAAGACTCTTGATTTGATGTCTAATCTTGTACATTAACACCATACAATAGCATTTTTATGTTTGCACTGAAAAGAATACTTTATTAATAACACTTAAAGGATTAAAGCAACACCAGGGGTGTTAAATACCCCATAGTGTAAAATTTGAACAACAATAGCAAGTGTAACACTTTACACTCGGAGTGTAATTTTTCTACACTGTAAGGTGCTATATTAACACTAAAAATTCAACACTACGAACGGTGTACTTTTAACACTAGACAGATTGGGACCATATATGATCTTTAGTAGTGTTAAAATCGACACTTTAAGTGTTAAATTGACACTGCATTTTTTTACTGTGTACATATAGACCAGGGCTGCCCAAACTCGGTCCTGGAGGGCCGGTGTCCTG